AAAATTGGACGCCTAACTAGCGCCTAGCGCTTAGTGTAACATTATTATAGACACACTTACAAGAGAACTTGTTATTAGGAGAAAATTAAAAAAATCAATCACATTTGTCCATCTAAATAGATCTTAATGGATCTAAAGCAATGAAAATAAAAAAAAATAAAAATAAAAATACAGTGACATTTTGATAAATGTTTGCAACTTTAAAGTGAAAATCACAATATAGAAAATGTTTTGCAAAGTGCACTATGTAATGTTGCAAGGTGCAGTGTATAGCGTTATAAAATATATTTTAAAGTTCAAGTTACTTACAGAATTATTACTGTTTTTCCCCTCATTGTTTTAGAACCATTATATATATAGTCAAATGAACTCTTTTTTTTTTTTATTTAAAATAATAATAATAATTTCTCATATGATTATATGTGTGTGTGTGTGTGTGTGTGAAGGGGGGAGATGGTTCACGTGAAGAACTCTGAGCTAAAAAATGGTGTGATCCAATCTAGATCAACTACCCATAATGAAGGTAAATTAAGTAACTGGCAGCGAATGATCTCCTTCTACCATTGTCATTTTCTTCCTTATCTTCCTGTCCTGCCCCGAATTCAAACTTGTATTAGCATTACATTCTGGAAAAGAAGATGCTAGATGTATTTTCAACGAGTATAAATTTTGACATACAGATAGATTTTATTGTATAAAGTCATCCACTTAATGTTTTGATGTTATGCACTTTATGTTTCTAAGTGATGCACCTTGAGTTTTGAAGTGATGCACCATAAGTTTCGAACTAATGCACCTTAAGTTTTGATCTTATGTACCTTAAGTTTCGAACTTATACACCTTAAGTTCTAAGTTATACACTAAATTATCACAATATCACTGAATTTTTAAAATTTTTTATCATTATGGACTGTAAATTTTGACTAAATCAATGACTAAAATTTCACCATATTTTTTTAATCTAAGAGCTTCTACGCATTTGACCTCTAGTCTATATGTTTATACGCCCACACTTGAAAAGGAAAATGTTAGTACTCAATCAAGTAGGGGAAAACAACTCAAATTCACAAATGCAACTATGCAAGATCCAAAAATGCATGTATTAGGCAAAAGATCACTTGGTAACTGGAAACCTCAGAAAATTAATTAATGAATTTAATACTTGTCCACAAAGTCAAAAGTTGACAAATTTTAAACATAAAAAATTAATTAGTACGGTAATTTTTTTGAATTTCTTGGTTATGCAATTAATGAGTCTATTTGTCATAGACACAATCATAATGAAGGCAGAATTTATGGACAAGATCTACTTGCATTAAAAATGGCTGACTTTTTGGGATGCTTATTGCTTAATGCCTTAATAGAATTAAGTACTACAACTGTACATTTCTTTTCACATTTTACGCAACTGTAGAAGACAATCACATAAATTCTTTACTCAAATAAAATATAATGATTATTTACTCTTATTTTTTGTTAGAGCATCCTTATCCGTGAAGATATTAGAGGGAGAATGTAAGAGTAGTTAGGAAAGAGAATGCGGGAAGGGAGAGGAAAAAAAAAACCAAAACTGACTTTTTTAAATTAAAAAATAAAAAAGTATGTCGGGCGCGCCGAACAGCCGGCTGTGGACTTGCTGTGCGCCTTATGCCTTTTTTTTTTTCTTGATTTTCGCATTCTCCCAATCTCTTGCAAGACAATTCTTTTTTAATTATTCTCTCCCCACAATAGCTTTGCTCCTTGTTTGGGAAGAATGCATTCCGAAATAACTTCAAATTATCCACTATAGTGGATGCTCTTATAATATTATTGACTCTATTATAAGGTAATATCTGTTATATACTTTCTTTATCCGTTGCAGTTCAAAGAGACAATACCCTACAACTGAAATTTGATCACGTGACATTCCTTCAATGAGAGTCACAGAAGTGCCATTTGACTAAATGACTATCGACTTTGAGGAATATAGTTTAGCTTTCATGTGATTGAAGCTCTCCATATATGTTTAAGCTTACTACTGATGGCAAATAATATTAACATAATCTTACCATGATTTATGAAGTTTTTCTTTTATGTAATGATACTGGAGGAGTAATTACACTAAAAAAGTCTCGTACGACAAATTTAATAAAAAAAAAGTACAAACAATAATCAAATTCGTAACATTTAATTATAACAATTATGTTTTATCTACTCGACTATCCCGTTAGGTGTTGTAAATAGGGGAGTAGGACAAAGAGAATGGATGGTGGAAATTTGCGTAGTGCGAAAACGTTTGCATATATATGGGTCAACATTTTAAAAGCAAGAATGAAGACAGGTATGTATTTAGTCAAGCCACCTAAAACACTAAACCAATAATAAATGTTGTATATTTAGTACCATTGCAACCACCCCACCTCACCAAATTTAATATTCAACTAATCATAATAATTACTCTCTTCTTCTTGACTCTTAGTCATTACCGATTATTATTTTTCACCATATATATATATATATATATATATATATATATATATATATAATTTGTCAATTTTTTTAATCGTTTGAATCCTATTTAAAATTCATTAGAAAATTAATAGTGTAATTTTTTTAATTCCATTTTACATTTACTTATAAAATACATAAAATAATAAATACATATACTTGTAAGTTATTAATAATTCTTTTTTGAGCATATAATATACAACATAAATATGCAATTTAACTATTAACTTAGACTTTTACCAACCAGCTTCGTTGGCGTGAGTGATAGTGCACTCTTGTCTCTTAAGAAATTACGAGAGTTTAAACCTCCTCTTGTATAAAAAAAATCAGTCTGACCAACAGTTTGCCTTGAACACCTCGTAATCTGATAAAAAAATTAAATCTTTTACTTGACATGTAACACATACTAAAATTCAGTATCAAAATCAATCACATATTAAAGGTCATGAATTTGAATCTCTGACCTAAGAAAACTACTTGTGCCCCTATGTGTCTATCGACAAGAATAGGCGCAGTAGCGGAGATTTTGGACTTGCAGTGTCGCCGTGTATCAAACGTCCGTTGCCGGTTATTGAGCAGTACGTAATTGAGAAATCACAATCAATGAATCAAAGCAAAAGGACAAAACAGTGGAGACGTGACGCCCGTCACTCCGTGTTTTAACGCCGTCAAAGGAAATACGCATGGCGAAATGAATCGGAAGAGACGTGGAGAGATGGCAGAAAATGTTGCAGGCTGATCCTACGGCTCTCACGCCACGCTTTCCCTGGCCCACTTGTTTAGCCCTCGGTCTTTGACTTTTTATGATTACAACCCCAGCACATCATTTACACTCCTTGTAAACTCCTAGGTCAAATCACTGCCCACGCGATTCCTACACGTGAACACCACCCTCAATTACCCCCTATTTTTTCCCACTTTCTTATATTATTAATTAATTAAAGTTTAATATTAAAATCATGAGTTAATTTCATTTTGGTGGTCCTAAATTTATATGTGACAATACATTTTTAATTTTTATTTTCAGAATAATCCTCTTTGATCATAATATTATTGTGTGATGATCATTTTTTATCTCCCATCAACAAAATTGGTTAAATTCTGTAAAATACAATGGCATTTAAGTCTTTAGATATGATTTTTTTTTTCAAAAAATAAAAATAAAAATATAGCGGATTAACTCACTTTGTATAAAAAAGATTGAAATGTCACTGTATTTAACGACATTTCAACAATTTTGTTGACAAATGACCAAAAATATTCATGCCACATTAATACTAGGATGAAAGGAGAATGTTCTAAAAGATAATGATTAAAAGTGGATTGTCACCTGTAAATTTATGACAAAAAATAAAATTAACTCTTTTTTTTTTTAAACCAAGAACTTCAATTAACTGAACAAATCAAGAATAGAGTTCGGGGGGAAACTCTCCCAATACATCTTATTAGATTGGGGACCAACCGCTTTAACAAGCAAATGGGCATGTTGATTGACCCGTCTAGGAACGTAACGAAAGACACAAGAATCAAAATGGGAACTAAGCAATTTGCAGGAATGAACTATCGAACTAAGCAAATTAACTCTTAAAATCATCTTTATTATAGAATTCTTAAAATTTATATTGATAATAGATTATTTTAACACTATAGAGTTATATTCTTATATTTATCAAATATCAATTTGTAATGGGTGATAATTATGGATTGAAGTAAATTATGTTGAAAATAATAGACGTAATTCAAATGTGATAGTCACAAACTATAGTGAAGTTAATAATTGCAATAATGTTTATGCTATGTTTAAGTATTATTGAAATATTTGTATTTATTTGGTATGTTTAAATATTGTTGAAATATTTGTGTTTAATATGCAGAACGAAGCGTAAAAGGGTAGTCAAGAGAAATTAAAGTCAATGATAATACACAATTATCAGGTATATGACTTTGTGGGTTCGAGTTTCAAGTATGTCTCATTGTTAACTTGATAATTGAATGTTGAAATATTTATTATGATTTGTTGTTGTGTTGGAATGGAGGATATAGGCCGGTGGAATTTGAAATTGATCCACTAATAGTCATTGTGAACGTTACACAAATATGAATATCATTGGTATAATTCGTGATTTAATTATGAAATACGAGTATCGTAGGATAAATTATATTCATTACAAGACAAAGTTTTGATAATTCTATGCCTCTATATAAATTATATATAAATATATTCATTAAAGTTAAATTAGAGATTAGGGATATTATCACAATTGAATTTAAAAGAGATATGTTGGTTGGTGGTACGACCCACGCCCTATGATATGAAGCTATAAGTTTGATAGCTCTACTAGATTTAAACCATAAGCCACTAGAATTTACTAGTTGCGTTTGCAGTCAACGACACCCAACCAAAATAGTCCAAATTATAGAAAATGTAAAAAAAAAAAAAAAAAATTATTCCTACAAAAACCCCTAAATTATGTGCCAAAAAGTTGATACTGTGCTTTTTTTTTTTTTTTATTATTTATTAAAGAAAACACCCCCACTCAAAAGTCAACGCTTCTCTCTCTCTCTCTCTCTCTCTCTCTTCTCCTTCTTCTTCTTCTTGGCTTCACACTCGGAATTCGGAAATCAGTAAATCGCCATTTTTTTTAGAGAGATGGGCGTGTGAGCTTTGGTGGGTTTTGACAGACATAATCGAAAGTTACTTCATTTCTTTATAATATGGGGAACGGTGTTGGTAAACTGAGCGTTTGCTTCACGGGCGGCGACGCCGCCGGCATGGAAGCGCGGCGGCGGAAGGAATTCCAGGTGGTGATATCGGAGCCGTTGGATGACTTGGGACATTCATTCTGCTACGTTCCCGAGGTGGCGCGGCTGTCGTCGTCGTCTAAGGTTCACTCAGAGGAAACGACGACGTTCCGGTCAATTTCCGGCGCCTCTGTTAGTGCCAACACCTCGACGCCGCTCTCCACCGCCTTCGTCGACGTCTATTCGTACAATAGCATCGATCGCTCTTCTACCTTCGAGAGCTCCACCTCCTTTGCTTCCATCCCTCTGCAGCCAATCCCCAGAAACTCAATCCACTCCGGCCCGCTGCTGGGCTCCGGCTTTTTACAGAGCTCCGGTTCGGTAGAGCGCGGCTTCATGTCCGGTCCGATTGAGAGGGGGTACTTGTCGGGACCCCTCGATCGGGGGATCTTTTCCGGTCCTCTCGAGAAGGGCTCTTCCGATCAGTTCCAGCGGAGCTTCTCGCATGGAGGTTTCGCGCTCCGATCTAGATCACGAAAAGGGAAATTGATTCGGGCTCTCCAACAAGCCATCTCGAAGACCATATCCAGGGGGCAAAACTCAATTGTAGCTCCGATTAAAGGGTCGGTTTCAATCAAAGAACCCGATTGGGTGGTTGGGTCTGAGAAGCAGAACGAGTTAACAATCAGTAGTGTCAATCTGAGCAGCGAGTGCAGCTTGGAAGATGATGACTCGCAAGAAAGCCAAAATCTTCAATGGGCTCAGGGAAAAGCCGGCGAAGATCGGGTTCATGTGGTGGTATCCGAAGAACACGGGTGGGTCTTTGTGGGTATTTACGACGGATTCAATGGTCCAGACGCTCCTGATTACTTGTTATCCAATTTATATGCCGCTGTTCATAGAGAACTCAAGGGACTTTTATGGGATGATAAATCCGATTCATCAAATCCTAATAACCCCTGTCTTAATCTCCGCTCTTCCATCTCAGAACCAGAAGATATGAATCAGTCTTTAAATGACCAAGTTTCAAGAGATAGAGATAGAACAAAGGATGGTTGCTCCAGATGTGTTGAGCAAGAGGTTTATCCCTGTGCCAGGGAAGAATTGAGTTCTGATTCTAAGCTCAGGAAGAATAATAAGGGAAAGAATTCGAAGAAACGATACCGAGGGGTGGCTAAGAAATGGGAGGAGAATCAGAGGAAGTGGCGGTGTGAATGGGATAGGGAAAGGTTGGAGCTTGATAGGAGGTTAAAGGAACAGTTAAATCGAAACGGATGGAATGATTCGGGGGCGATTAATCATGGCGATGTATTGAAAGCTCTGTCTCAGGCATTGAAGAAGACAGAGGAGGCGTTCTTGGATCTTGCTGACAAGATGCTCATGGAAAATCCCGAGCTAGCGTTGATGGGTTCTTGCGTTATGGTAATGCTGATGAAGGGAGAGGATGTTTACGTGATGAACGTTGGGGATAGTCGAGCTGTGTTGGCTCAGAAGAAGGAGCCCGATCTTTGGAGCCAGGATTTGGAAAGGATAAACGAAGAAACATTGCATGATCTCGAGGGCTTCGATAGCGAGGGGTTTGATGGGGTATCAAATTTAACCGCGTTCCAGCTTACTACAGATCATAGCACCTCGGTACCAGAGGTGAGATATGGTTCTCTTAATCGATTAAACTTTCGAATTGCGATGATCTTATTAGTGTCTAGCTCTTCATTGTGTAGTGTTCCTTTTTAACTTTCAGGAAGTCGAACGGATAAGAAACGAGCATCGAGATGATCCTTTGGCTGTTATAAATGACCGCGTAAAAGGGCTAAAGGTCACCCGAGCTTTCGGTGCTGGCTTTCTCAAACAGGTACTACAGAATATGATCCTTTCTAGCATGCTAAGAACTAAGAACTAAGAAGTCAACTCTTTTAGCGGATATTGGTAGGAGAACATCGAATTCTTTTTCATATTCCTTTTGTGCTTGTTAAAGTAGAGCACTTATGGTTCTAAGACTCGTGGAATTGAGTTCGAACCAGGAGGAGGATAGTAATATCCTTAATAGAGAACAAGTTCAAACGTTGCTATAAGCCTTTTCTCTAGCACATGAAAGGGCATATTTCCTTTCTATATTTGGAGGCATATTCCGCAACGAAAGTGGTTGTCAACATCCAGTTTTATTCCTCTAGGAAAGCGGCTTTTGTTACACACATTAGTGGGAGCTATCTAAACTTTCTTTCCCTGCAACTTTAGCTCGTGAAAGTAGAAAACTTTACTGTTGTTAGTAATTCACTTTTGACTCGGATTTACTGTATAGGTCTAGATGTTGGGGGATGAATGTGGACCGTAAGAAAATGCAATGCACTCTTTATATTCTCAGATAATATGCTATTGAATTCATGTCAAGAAAATGCAATCCTACTGAAGAATTTGGTGCTCGTTGGAATAGAATTCCTATCCATTTATATCAGTTTATCCGTCGTTAACTTCTTGTTTGGTTTACCAATCTTGAAAAGTTAGATATCAGAAAGAAAGAAAGTTCCCTGTTGAAAAAAAGTTTAGCTTTTTATCTTTCCTTTGGCTATTCTTTCTATGCTAATGTAAAAATGCTTTCTTTTTCTTTCTTGCAGCCTAAATGGAACAATGCGCTTCTTGAAATGTTCAGGATCGATTACGTTGGAACTTCCCCGTATATCACCTGTCTCCCGTCACTGTATCATCACAGATTAGGACCGAGAGACAGGTTCTTGATATTGTCATCGGATGGGCTCTACCAGTACTTTACAAACGAAGAAGCTGTTTTAGAAGTCGAGCATTTCATCTCGTGGTCACCCGAAGGAGATCCCGCCCAGCACCTTGTCGAGAAAGTATTGTTTCGGGCAGCAAAGAAAGCAGGTAATGCCGCGTTGTTTGGTCGCACAATCGTTTCGTTTCTTCTTACTTGGTCCCGTTAAACTAAAACGCCATGAAAATCTTTTCCAGGTTTGGAGTTTCATGAATTGCTTGAAATCCCACAGGGTGATCGACGAAGGTACCATGACGACGTTTCCATAATCGTCATTTCGTTGGAAGGAAGAATATGGAGATCATGTGTATAAGTGTAGGAAAATGAGAAGGTAAATGATATAGAGATTCAAAAACCCAAAAAAAAAAAAAAAAAAAAAAAAACCATTTTTGCCGCTCTTTTTACCTAGTTGCCGCTGTAAAAACCTACCAACCAAAAAAGCTCTCTTCTGTGAAAAAGCAGCTGCAATGTTATTAGCTCTCTAAGCTGTCATAGAAAATCGTAATTTCTCTAATAATCACTTCTCCATGAAGAGGGAAGTTTTGTTCTTTAATATTGTTCCCATCATCACTATAAAATTTTCTCAGAACATCTTAGTATTTTGCTAAATGATCAAGAAATCTTGTCTGTGTTGGATGTTTTGTCTTTATCTTTTGTACCATAATTATCAAAGTGATTAATGCAGAAGGCCAGTCTGTAAAGTTTAGTCAAGTCAAATGTTTCATGTATTAAATTCCTTATCTTTTATTTTATGCCATTTGTGGATGAAAATCAAACATGTATAGTATGTTCAATGGTGGGTATGACCAGCAAAGTCTTTGTAGAGCCACCCATTCACAGACAGCCCCAAGATGAAGCCATGGGGAATCTTGCTAGGTCATAAATGACTTGGTCTCATATGGTTCACAAAAGCGTAAAAAAGAGTTTAATTTGCAAGCTCACATGCATTCGTCGTCTTATGACTTTCTCACCCCTATGCCCTATAAAGTTGGTGTTGTGTCCCGGCCTCCCGGGCACTATAGAAGATGAGTATATCATCTGCGGTTAAGTAATCTGAGTATATTATCTCTACTTTTTCTACTCAGAGATGAAGTTAGACTATTATAATCTATCAAACTAGTCAGTTGCGGTTAAGTAATCCGGACGATTCGACCGAATTAGGTGTCTAACTCAGCGCCTAGGGCGTCTAGTCGGTCGGCCGACTAAAAGCCGCCTAGAGCTAAAATTGCCTAGGCTTAGAGGCGCTAGTCGGCACCTAGGTTGATTTTTACAACACTGGTATAGAGTTGATTTTTATTCTTATTTCTTTGCTCACAAAAATAATAAAGGTCAAATTCTCTCACTCCAAGAGTCCCTACACCTCGACTAGACATGATGGTAAGGAAGTAAATCACGATAACTCAACTCAGCGACCTCTTAAGTGGAACGACCAACGAGAAGCCTAACTCCCACCTTGCAGTTGTCAAGTCCCAATCTTTAAGTCTTATTTCTTCATTATAACGAGTTTATAAGTATGCAATGTGTATAATCACTAACATTCCCATCTAATTAATAGACTATTCTAAATGAAGATGAATTAAGTAACTTGGCAAAGGGTACATGAGCAACTAGGTGTACCAAAAGAAGAATCCATTATATCTACTCTAACTGCTAACTAACTTTGGAGTTGGGAGTAGTGAATGCAAAATGCAGGTGGGAGAGTTGGGGCATTAGATTCATCATCTGCACTAAATGTTTTGAAACCTGTCATAAATTTTGTGCCACCAACTTCTAGTATCACAATCATGGTTCCCCAATCCCCACCATTAATGAGATCCAACAGCCCAGATTGTGCCCAGTTTCTTATCTTTCAAAGAAAATTCAAAACAAGAAAATTCTTCTTAGGTTATGAATGCACAGCTATTCACTTATGCTGCAATTAATACCAGAGAAAAAAAGGGTTCAAGAAAACTTCAATGTGAGGGGACCATGGCCGCTTGATTCTTGATGCAACTATGCCTCTCACTTAATCAGCCCGGCTCACCATTAAACATGTATCGGTTTAACATGAACTAATTAAAGCTCTCGAGCTCGTTTACAATACTCGGGGTTAGTTCAGGCCTATCTCTGCTGTTTAGTTCACAGCAATTTATCCCAAGGTGTGCCAACTTCCTAGCTACAAATGCAGGCCATTCTCCAGCAGATGAATCCAAAACGGATTCCAAATTTCCAGACACGAGTGCTCTATGTACTTCACTTGATAGTCCTGGCAAGGCTCTTCGGGTGAGAATCTCAAGTATGACCAATCCAAAGGAATAAATGTCTGACTTGGGTGTCAGATTCCCCGTCGCAAGAAACTCTGGATCTGTATAGCTAAAAACACCCTTTGGTTCAGTAAGACGGGCAAAACTTGGGCAACGCAGGGTCTGTGGCATAACCAGCCTATAAATCCCGAAATCACAAATCTTGCAGGTGTTGTCAGGACCAATAAGAATATTTTCAGGCTTCAAATTGCCATGCACAATCTTTTCAGAGTGCAGAAACAGCAGTCCTTTAGCAATGTCTGCAACAATTTTGGTTCTCGTTTTCCAACTTAAGAAGCGACGAATATTAGTCCTAGGGAAAAGGCGGTCGTGGAGGTTCCCACCGGGTAAATACTCAGAAATAAGGGACCAGGATTCAGGACATATGCCTAGTAAAGTTACCAGATGGTGGTGATGTAGTTTGCCAAGAACTTCAACCTGGATATCAAGAAAGGAAGTTTAAGGTAATCCAACTTTATTTCACAAACATGTTAGTTAGTTTATGATAATTTAGGTAAAATGTAACTTCAACCTGTTGGAGAAACTCGGATTGCCATTGCAGATTATGTGTATGCAGTTTCTTTATCACAACAGTCCTATCTAACAATTCCCCTTTATAGACAGCACCATATCCACTCTCCCCAATCTTGAAGCTCTCTGAAAAGTTGCAAGTGGCTATCTGCAAATCCGAAAATGAAAACTCCACTAACTCGCTTGAATCTTTTGTGAACTCATCAATGGCCCCATTTAAGTACGCTCCTTCACCTCGCCCATGACTCTTCCGGTGATTAACAGAGGTTGACCCCGGGGATTTTGGAACGAAAACAGCCTCATTGTTGCAGGAGAATTGAGATTGAGCTTCTGCAGCAGATTTTGGAAATTGGCAACTCTTTCGGGTGAAAACCAGTTTCCCTTTGTACACAAACAGTATCTCGCTGAACAGCGGAGCATTTCTGGCAACATAACTTGCTTTTCGAGACCTCTTTTTCGCCTTCATGCTACTGTATACAATTATTAACATCACTACAGGAAATGAAATGAAAACTCCATGTCTAAAGACGAATTCTGGAAAAAACTAAGGCACTCACTCAGGAATAGCTCCAATCACAAGCTTCCTAATGTTATGCTCTTTTACTAAATCCACAATCCCCTTTTGAACTTCACCAGCTTCAGTTGTAATAGTGCTCGTTTTAACCTGCATGCCATTTGAATACTATATTGGAACAAGGAAGATAGCCATTCAATAAGGACCAATTAAACACAAAGACTTTGAAATACATAATAGCTAGTTTTGACACTGATAACACCGGGGCAACCCCAGCCAAGTTAGTCATACTGTTAACTTGGTAACCACACGTTACAAGTTCAACTCCCAGCGGGCCACGACCTTTTGGCCTTCTTGGTTTGAGCCAGTCAGCTATATGCAACCTAGTTTAGTTTACTTTCTTGTGATCCTTTACCGGCTAGGCTAGGGTCATAAGACATGGTTTACCCAGTGTTCACACCATCAGGTAGTGGCTGCTGTTTAGCCAGTTAGCCTGGTTTGAGTCATTAGTTATAGGCAACCTAGCCTGGTTTATCTCCTTGTGATCCTTTGCCGATTAAGGTTACAAGGTGGAGTTTACTCAGTGCACACCTTCAGATAGTGACTGCGGTTGAGCCACTTTCATCAAACTATTTATACACTAAATTACACCCAAGAAGATTAGAGGAAAGATTGTTTACCTTAAATTGGCTGCATACATTTAAGTAATTATATAGACGTTTCCTCATCACTTCCCTCTCCTCATTTCTAAATGCAGATACCACTTCTACATTGGCTTTACTGGCAGGTAGTCTTCCCACTGGAGAAAGAATTAAATGAATTGAATGTCGTTGAGCAATATAAATGAACTACTGGTTATGGATATCCCTTTTCTTTCTATAATTTACCTCAAAATCTACTATACAATCTTTTCCAGTTCTCCAAATGTGCAAACTTTATCTTAAAATAAAGCCATAAATGTATGCAATTGTGCAATTGAATAGACATGTTAATTACTAGCTAGAAGGGGCACTCAACCTATCTCAGAACTGAATAAGCAAAAAACTTGTGCTTTCTGAGAACTACACAATTCTGCTCTCTTTACCAGAAACCCATTTTACAAACTTGCCCAAGAATACCAAAGATCAAAACTTTAATGAATTCTGTGAATGTGTTGAATTGAGAGAAAAAGAGGGAGAGAGAGAGAGAGTCACCGGGAGTGGGAATCCAAGAAGAAGGTTGATGAACATGAAGAATACAAATCTCAGAGTTCCCAAAGGTCCTACAAGCCCACTGAAGCAAAACAACAGCCTTTTCGAATGATTTCTTCCCCACTGCCACGTACACCTTATTATTGTTAGCTTCCTCCGGCGATGATCGCCGGGATGTCTTCATTTCCATATGAACAGTCCGGTAAAACCCACGCCGGAAGCTCGCCAGAGGCAACCCAGAAGTTGGCGACGGGCTGAGCAGCTCCATTATCCTGTGCCCGTTAACTGATGATGAATTGAATGATTTTTCTCAGTTTTAAAATAAAGATTGACACAACATTACAACAATTCAGCAGTTCATACTATACATCCATTTTGTTCGTTGCAGATTATTGAATGCAAAGTGAAAAAGAACGTCATTAAATTCTTGTAATATGGAATTTAAAGCATAATCCCGTCTATTATATTTGCGTAAATCTTCAAAATCTGGTAAAGTTTGCGTTCCATATTTATTTACGTATGTTTTTTAAAGGAAAAATTACACTTTTTTCCCCTGAAGGTTATATATTTATAGCATTTTCTCCCCTGAATTATTTATGTAAGTACATTAGCTCCCTCAATTATTCTAAAGGTGACAGTTTTCCCACCTGATATATTAAATTGACATTTATCCTTTAAAGTAAACATTTTATTTATTTTTTTTCCAATAAATTATTGTGTATACGTAGGGATGACCATGGTTCGGTTCGAACTGAACCGGACACTGTACTATAGCAATTGAATTGAAAGTTTATGGTTATGATTCAGATCAGAACCCAATATTTGAATTTCAGTTTATTAAAATTATGAATCGAAAAAGCTGAATCCTGAACCGTAAACCGGTGGTTTCAGATTCGATTCACGATTTTGAACCGTCTTTATTATAAAATTTTATTTTTTATTTTAAAATAGTCTAAATTGAACAATAAATGTATTTTATTTTTTTTCCAGTTCGGAACATGAATCGGTCATTCTGGTTCGCGATTTTAATAAACTCTAAATATCGGGTTTCACCTTTAAATTGTAATTGAAATATTTTGGTTTGGTTGCTATAATGTCTATTCGATTTGAATCAAATCGTGGTCATAATTTGTTGGAGAAGAAAAATAAATAAAATATTTATTTTAAAGGTAAATGTGTCCATTTAATATTTCGAGGGAAAAACAACAACTTGAATAATTTAAGGAAAAAAAGTATTATAAGTATATAACTCTGGGAAAAAAGTTTTATTTTTCCTTTTTTAAATATGTTATTAAGTTAAATATAATAATATTATAAGATTTGTAAAGTTAAAATATTGTTTTAAATTTTAAATGAAATTTTATTAAAATTTATTTATTTTATTTAGAAAATACGTTTTTGTTTTAAAAGAATTTCATGAGGGAAAAGAATATATATTAAATTGACTTTATGAAAAATCTTAATAAATATACAAAAGATTTAGAAATTCAGAGAATTCATCCCCAATATAATGTTGAAGTCGAACAGTTGTCAGCAAATTAAAGTACTTCTACATCCACTTTTCGACTTCATATGCAATTTGAAATCCACATAGTATGACCATTCGGCTTTAATATACATGCATGGTTTAGTAAGCTTTTCATATGCATGCATGCATTATATATATATATATATATATATATATATATATATATATATATATATATATATATATATATATATATATGTGGACGGAGTCACTGTGGGGCAGGGAAATTTTGAATTTGTTTATGTGGATCTGTCATTTGTACTGCACAATAATTTTTTCATGCAGATGTTCGCCCTTGTTCTCATTTTCAATTAAAAACATTTCACTTACATACCATCCCGACTATTATACATGTATCAAATTTGGTCGTTAACTATTAATATTTTCAAATTAGGTACATACATGACTATATAATTTGTATCATATTTGGTCATTGACTATTAATATTTTTAAATTAGGTGCATGACTATGTAATTTGTATCAAATTTGGTCATGTTGTCCAATTTTTTGACCAACTATTGCCTAAATTTCAACGAGGAAAATAATTTTTCGACAGTAATTGGCCGAAAATACCCTTTTAATTAGAACATATTATTTTTCTCGTTGAAATTCCGACAATAGTTGTCCAGAAACTTGCCCAGAATTTGAACGACAGGACTAGATGTGATACAAATAACATAGTCATGCACCTAATTTAAAAATATTAAGAGTCAAGGACTAAATGTGATACAAATTACATAGTTATGCACCTAAATTAAAAATATTAATAATCAAGGACCAAATTTGATACATGTACAATAGTCAAGAGATTAAATGTGAGTTTTTTTTTTGTTTTTTTTTTTTTTTTTTTTTTTTTTCTGTTCATTTATAATCATTGGGTAGCAACTTATGCCAATGTGTTAAATGACTTTACAGAAATAAATTACTAAGTGGATGTTTAATCTTTTAGGCACTTTCATTCATGCCAATGTGTTATTTGCTTCATTTTGATTGCTTGATACAATGCATCTCCATCATAACAATTTGATGTAATCTTAAGTATATATTACTAAGTGGATGTACTTTCATTCATGCATAATTTTTGAAATTTTATCTCGGAGATTTATATGGTAAATGTATAATGCTTAAAAATTTCAAATATGTTACTAAATTGATACATCATCTTCAATGAAATTTTTTTGGCAAAACAACTATGAGAATTTTGTACATCTTTTTATCTCATGAGTCCTAATCTAGTTTTCTTTAATGAGGGAGATTAATAAAGACTTATAAGAAAGTGATAAAGAGATATTAATTTTTAGATAATCTAGTTTTATTTCTTTCACTTTTCTCTTTTTATCTTTTTGTATTGCAGAAATTTTTCCAAAAGTGGAAACTGGAAAATGATTTTGGTGCAATTAATAATTAATTATTTTCTTAATTACCATCTTAAAATTGCAATAAAAAATTAAACACCACAGAGGAATTGAAGAAAAGAAAAGTTGCATTTATTCCCTTATTATGAAACACAACATTAAACTGTCTTCCATTCTACAACTGAAATGGAGAACAGGAAGAAAATGTTGTGAAGAAAAATTGACAAAAAACAGAAAGAAAAATTCCCAAAAATAAATAAATAAATAAATAAATAAATTTGTAGTAGTTATTGCTGGAACCCAAATTGTGAAGAAGAATTAGAAGCATTTCCTGTGCACAATGGAAGGACCAGACTCATCATACTCTGCCTTTGCAATCCACATCTGCAATCCAACATTAAAATTGTTTGTTTAGTACTTACCATGTCTTATGAGAATGTAAAAATGAAGATATGTACTTGTAATAATGCAATATATTATGAGAAAACTCGCCTGCTGGAAAGTACTGAGGGACGCTAAAATGGAGCCTCCAATCCAGACGCTGTACTTCCTCTCAGGCGGGGCGACAACCTTAATCTTCATGCTGCTCGGTGCCAGTGCAGTGATTTCCTTGCTCATCCTGTCAGCGATCCCGGTGAACATGGTGGTGCCGCCACTGAGGACAATGTTGCCATACAAATCCTTCCTGATGTCCACGTCGCACTTCATGATCGAGTTGTATGTGGTCTCGTGAATGCCAGCAGCTTCCATCCCGATCATCGAAGGCTGGAAAAGGACTTCCGGGCAGCGGAAACGCTCTCCGCCTATAGTCAGCACTTGCCCATCAGGTAGCTCGTAGGGCTTCTCGACTGAAGAACTGGTCTTGGATGACTCCAGTTCCTGTTCATAGTCGAGTGCAATGTACGAGAGCTTCTCCTTCATGTCCCTCACGATTTCTCGCTCTGCTGAGGTCGTGAACGAGTAGCCACGCTCGGTTAAGATTTTCATCAGGTAATCGGTGAGGTCCCGACCAGCTAAATTGAGACGAAGGATAGCGTGTGGGAGAGCGTATCCTTCATAGATCGGGACAGTGTGACTCACACCATCTCCCGAGTCCAAGACAATACCTATACATATAATCATAATCGAATCAATAAACGCAATTCTAATAGAACCTTTGTAAACTTTCAAGATGAGACAATAAGTGAAAACGGAAAGAGGGCTGGCTCACCGGTTGTACGACCGCTGGCATAAAGGGAAAGAACAGCCTGGATGGCGACATACATTGCAGGGGCATTGAACGTCTCGAACATGATTTGGGTCATCTTCTCACGGTTAGCCTTAGGGTTAAGAGGCGCTTCGGTGAGCAGAATGGGGTGCTCTTCTGGAGCCACACGGAGCTCGTTATAAAACGTGTGATGCCAGATTTTCTCCATGTCATCCCAATTGTTCACGATACCGTGCTCAATCGGATACTTGAGAGATAGGATACCACGCTTGGATTGCGCTTCGTCCCCGACATACGCATCTTTCTGCCCCATACCAACCATCACACCCGTGTGACGAGGCCGCCCAACAATGCTCGGAAACACAGCCCTTGGAGCATCATCTCCAGCAAATCCCGCCTACATATCATAAATAATAAACCAAATGTATGTATATATAATATCATCACAATCACAATAAACCCATATTTTAATCAGATCTTTGCTTCAAACTCTCAAACAAAAGTAAACAATTTAATTTAATTTAATTGGTACCTTCACCATTCCAGTTCCATTATCACACACAAGTGGCTGAATATCATCACCTTCTGCCATTTTCTTTAAATAACTGGACAAAATCAAAACAGACAACCAGATTGATATCAAAACAACTAAATATATGATTCAAGAATCCCGTTTCGGGTCGCAAATCTAGCAAAATTGGTCAGATTGTTGACTGTTGAACAATTTAGGATTGTTTATCTCGTTGTGATCCTTTGTCGGCCGGCTAGGGTCACAAGTCCTATTTACACACTACTATAGAAATATGAGCAAATTCTTGTGTCATTGAAAGGGAGGAAAACATCATCATAAATCTAGGGAAACATATGATTAAAGAATCCTGTTTCTCAACAATATCACCATCACAGACAAGATTATGCACAAAATGTAGGTAATGCAACAGCAAACCCAGAAAAGAACAATATATATATATATATATATATATATATATATATATATATATATATGAGTGTATAGAGAGAGAGAGAGGACCTTGAGATTAATCTGGCTGGGGCCTGGGGAGTATGATTGTATAAATTGAAGAATGAAAAGAGGAAAAGAGAATTGTAAGAATAAGAGATAGTTTATTAATTTGAAGCAAAGCCCCTGAAACATTCTTGTGGACAGGAGAAATTCGAGCTACGTAGTGGTTGGTATGTGCGCGGCCTCTCCTTTCTTTGCTCTCATTATTGTGGTAGTAGTGGGGAAGGTAGTTGGTATAAACTCATATAAATACCCAGCCTTCTTTAAGATATGTGTAATCATATAATCAAGAACTGAAAAATAGTTTAAACATTTTGTTGAAAAATGACTTCTCCCAAATTTTGGCGGAAGTCATTTTCCACCAAAATGGCTTCATTTTTCCCAGTCAACCGGAAAATGTTTTCCGTTGATTGTATTTTTTTATTACATCCAAACATTGAAAACTCAGAAATCAGAAGTCATTTTCCGGGTGAAGATAATAAAAAGCCATATGAATGTAGATGTTGGAATTGTAATGAAAAAGGACATTATGCCAATAAATGCCCTAAATTAAAACAAAAGAAAGTAAAATATATTGATACTGAAGATTTCATTATGAGTTTAGAACAAATAAAAGAAGATCAAATAAACAATTATAAAGAATTTTATATTAGTGAAACTGAATTAGAGGATAATGATGGAAAGGAGGTGATAATGGAAGACAATAAGAAATTTGAAGTTAAAAGAAAAATTGGAAACATATTTACTATATATTACTTAGAAAACCCATTAGATAGAGAATATATCAAATACAGAATAAATATCCCAAATTATAATGAAAAAGTTTATTATCTACTTAAGAAATTTCCTTATCCAGACTTAGTTAAGCAAATCATCAAATATTTTAAATTTTTTGTATTTCAAGAAAAATTTGTATTAGAAAAAGTAAATGAACAATTAGAAATAAATTTTGAAGAAGATCATTTAGGGAATTTAATTGAAGAAATGATAGAATTAGTATCTCAATCAAAACATATTAAAAATTTTGAAGCAGAATTTCATCAACAACATGCACACATAAATTATGAAATAGGAGAATCTTACAGATATTCAACACCAGTTTATCCTATATACTATGAAATATTTATTTTGGAGCAATAGAATTTACAATAAAAGCACATTTTAAAAAACAAATAGATACACCAATAGAACTATACCTTAAAGATGATAGAATTAGGACAAATATAAAAGATTCTTTAATAATAATGGTAAGAGGAAATTTGACATATCAGAAGATAAAATTTACTGTACATCCAGATTTCAGTATATGTATAGAAGATGGAAATAAAGAGTTAGCATTAACATTATATTTTAAGTTACATGGTATTAACATGCCTAAAAAATCTAAAGTGATGAGCATTGAAACCAAAATAGTCTATGCATTAACTGGAAAACACCATATCCTAAAGAAAAATGATAGTAATATTATGATACCGAAATTATATGATGAAATTGTAGAAACATTACCAAACTTAGAAAATGTTAAAATAACATTACCAGAAGAAATATATATAGATTTTGGAAAAGAAGAGTTAGAAAATGAAAGAAAGATGATACCAATAATAGAGGGAAATAGATTATCTTTTAAAAGATTACCAGAAATAAGCCTGCAAAGGTGTGTATCTAAAAATTTAGATTTAACAAATCTAGTAATAAATGATGAAATAAAACTAAAAGGAGTAATATTCAATAAAATAATATCCTCTGAGATAATAATAACAATATCACCAGGAAACTTAAGAAGCTTTATACATAAAAGTAAAATAAATGAAGATGACTGTGAAATAATAACACCATATGTATGTAGTCACCCAGGAAATGATAGAAATATTATTATCACAAAAGCCATAGATCTGAAATTTATGATACAAGATTTAGAATACAATATAAAAATAGGAGTTTTAGAATATGATAGTTTTTATGAATTATTTTTAGGATCTGATTTCTTAAATACAATAGAATATAAAATTAATAGAGAAGGAATAAAAATCAAAGACCAGAATAAAGAAAGATATATTAGAAGAATATGAATCTAGAAAAAGAAATAAAAGATAAAGAAAAGCAAATAAGAGTACTTACACATAAGATAGAAACCGAAGTAATAATATCGCAATTAAAATATTATGAATATAAAGAAACACAAACTAGATTGGAAAATGAACTTAAAAGGTTAAGAAAAATAAGCACCGAATGTACAACTAAAGAATGGATTTATTTAGAAAATAATTGGAGAAAAAGAATATATAAAAATGAATCCCAATGATATAAGAATACAAGAAATTAGAAACATAGTTAGAAATGAAATTAGAGAAATTATAAAGGAAGAAATCACAAATGCATGGAGGAATTCAGAAATACAGATAAAAGAAATCATAAAAGAAGAAATTAAAAATATATGTAATAGTTCAGAAATACCCACTTTAACAATAATAATAGAGAAATTAAATTTAATAATAAAAGATAACAAGACAATACAAGAAGAGATATTAAAAAGTAAAACTATAACACAAGGAGAAACCAATTTTATATAAAAGGAAGATAAAATAGAAACAGAAATAGTACCTATAAATGCTTGGAAAAGAGGAATAGAACCAATGATGATGGATATAAGTAAAATGAAACCAAATTTACCAAAACCTGTAGAACAAACATTAGAAAAACTAAGAGAATTAAAGAAACAAGGAAAATTTTAAGAAAATGTCTAAAGAACATAGTGTTATAACTTTTCTTAGAAATCATGGAAAAGAGATAACAGAAAAAGAAAAAGCTAAGTATGAAACCATTAAAGAAAAATCCAAAGACTTAAAAATAAACGAAAATAAAAATGAAATATCTTCACATATTAGTTTATCAGAAATAATAACATTATATCAGGACCAACAACAAGAAATGGAAAAATTAAAACAAGAAAATGAGAAATTATTGGAAAATACAAATGAAGAATGGTATAATAAATATAAAAAATATAAAAAATCATACAAAGATACTAAAATACAGTTAAAATCAATAAAATCAGAAAATAAACAAATGAAGAAGGAAATAGAAGAATTAAGGAAAGAAGTAAGAAAATTAACAAAAAAACTAAAGAAAAGAGAAGAAAAAGAAACTAGCGGCAACAGTTCAGAAGATAGCGAAACAAACAGTAAGATAGAAATAGAAGCTAAAATAAATTATATAGAAGACTTAGATGGTGAAGAAAAAATAAACCTTATAAGAGAAAATGAACAAATAATCAAAGCTTTAGACAAGATAAAAGACGTAAATGCTATTATAGAAGAAGAACCAAGTGATATAGAAGAAGAATGTGATCAACCAACTAGAATAACTGAAGACGAAACTGATAATATAGTAAATGAAGATACAAATGATTACCCAGAAGAAGAAATGATGATAGGAAAACATAATAATAATAATAGAATGCCAAAACATATACCTATAGGACAACATGAAGAATTTAAAGAATTTATAGGATCAATGTCACAAGGAGTTAACTATAATGGATATTTTTTGGATCTAGATAATGTATACGATGAACAAGAAAGAAATAGATAGAAGAATAACATATTGGAATCTAGGAATGTATATTGCATTAATGAATTCTAATAAAACTAATGATAGAATATATATATATGAATTAATATCTAAAACATTAATAGGAAAGATAGGATATTGGGTACAATCCGTAGGAAATTTACAGACAGAAATACTAAATTTAGCATTGGAAACATTTATTAGGAATATTTGAAACCTTATTAAGAAGAGAATTTTTAGGAGAAAGATGGTTAGTATCAGAAACAACAGTATTAGCTGAAAGAAAAATGGAAATAATAACAAACTTAAATAACATGAGATGGGCATTCAAAAAAAAAAAAAAAAAAAAAACATGAGATGTTGTAAAATTAGTAAATTACCTGAATATACTATAAGTTTTAGTAAATTTTTCTATAGTGCAAAATTCAACTTAGAAGAAAGTTTAGTATATAAAAATACACCTGAAATTAGGAAAAGATTTAAAAAGAAAAGAAAATTTAGAAGAAGAAAAAGATATGCTAGACCAATAGAAGATAATAAAAAGCCATATGAATGTAGATGTTGGAATTGTAATGAAAAAGGACATTATGCCAATAAATGCCCTAAATTAAAACAAAAGAAAGTAAAATATATTGATACTGAAAATTTCATTATGAGTTTAGAACAAATAAAAGAAGATCAAATAAACAATTATGAAGAATTTTATATTAGTGAAACTGAATTAGAGGATAATGATGAAGAATATGTAGGATATATTGAAACAGAATATGATACAAGCAATAGTTCAGATTAAATGAATAGAGGATACTTAGTATTACAAAAATCTGATAGAAATTTTGTAGAATATATGATGACTTTAAATAGACTAGAAATATTATTAGAACACATATTAGGAAAAGATTTAAAAGATAAAATTATAGAAATGTACTACCAAAACATGGAAGAAGAATTACTAAGAGATCTAGAATGGTAGCAATATAAATAGAAGCAAAAGTAGAACATAGTAATAATAAAATGATAACAAGAAAAATATTTATAGATAGTGGAGCAGATATATGCTTAGCCAAAAAAGATGTATTTATAATGCATAAATGGAAAAAATCGAAAGACCACAGGATAAGAGTTGTAGGATTTAATGAAAAAAATGAAAGAATTAGATATAATAGCTGAAAATGTTAGAATAAAATTAGGAAAATTAATATTTAAAATACCAGTTATATACCAAGAAGATAATTTAAAACAACGTTAGGAAATAATTTCTTAGATTATTTTAAGACACAAATAATTAGAAAAGATGATATAAGTCTATTAACACCATGTGGAAAATGGATAATATTAAAAAAGAATACTACCTATATGTTCAACAGAGATATATTTTCTAAAATCAAATAAAGATAAAAATTTAGAACTTTTAAAACAAAGTTACTTGAACAAATTAAAAATAAATTTTGGAGAAAATCCAATAGCCTTATGGGATAAAGATAAAATATATGCTGAAATAAAATTAAAAGACCCAAATGATATAGTAA